CCCCCCCCCCCCCCCCCCCCCGCACCGCCCGCCAATACGCTACCGAATAAGCAAACAGTGGCTGCCATAATTCCACATTATTTTGCTCCCAGATAAACTCGTTAGGTTCACCGGGACTGCTCCGAAGTAAAAAAAGATAGATAGGACTGCAATTCTCTTTTTTTTTTCCTTTCCCCTTATTTTTAGAGCCCGTGGGTGATTTTGAAAAGTTGTTTTTAAGAGTTTACCACTCACTAAACGACAACAGGAGGGTTCTAGTCACTCAGTCACGATGGAAACCGCTAACTCCATTAAAACATTTGCTGAATAATTTACTTGAAAGTAAATTCTGATATGTCCAATGAGTTTACTTCTTAAGTGCATACTAAGATAATATTCCCTTTCGGATCGTACCCAGCAATCTGGTCTCGAAAGCACTCATTCTCCAACTGTTTTCCTCCGGAAAAAGTCGTTGTCACTGGCCACATGTTCACAACAATGCAACCAACCTCTTCCTACCCCGATTCATCTTTTTCCGCAACGATGAGCATTCAAACCTCCAACGGAGTAGAATAATGCCTTCAATTAATCGTTCCATCTAAAAACAAGTATTTTTCTCAGTCATCAATGAGTTTTCCTACAGGTTAGCTTTTCAAAAAACTGCATTTGCACGCGTAACGCAAAACTTGCCAGAATCCCTATTCAGGACCGCTGTTTCCACACATGCCAAGACCAACCGACAAACACCGAAATCCTTTACCTCCAACAAACCGATCGCGCGTGGTGTGCCGCGATTTGCTCCCCCGGTCCACGCAGCCCTCCTTGTCTAGCTCCTGCGTCTGGAGAGCTGCAAGGTCTGGAATCATTGGTTTAACTTTTAGTCGGTGTACGCATGCGCCGTTCCCACGGCTCACTTCTCAATCGAGCTGTTTTGCATGCGCGTACCATTGTCCTTTTAAGGGAGAAAAGGGCCGAGCGAAAAGCCTGGGAGAGAAAAGCACGGGGGAGGTTCTAGCCATTGTGACGCGAGGGCGACGTCAGGCACGTATGCAACGCTGGTAGGAGGAGCGTTCGCACAGTCTGCGGCGAGGTTCTGGCCGCGGTCGGCGTTGGGCGCCGGGTGGGGGTGACCCCGCTGCTTTTTGGACCTTCGCGAATGCTGCATTTGCGGTTAATGCAAGAGTTCCTTCCGGCGAAGAAGGGGGCGCTCCCTTTTCCCCAGACAGATAACACCCGTCATGGAGAGAGACGTTTGTGATCCTCCAGATTGTCTTTGAAGCACCTGCCGCCCTTGTCGGTTCTGCGCCAGCTCCCGGGCAAAACCGGATTTATTTGTCGCGGGGGAAGATCCAGCGCATCTTCATAGAAAGTGCGACTCACAGGACAGGACAGGACAGGCAGGACGAAGCCCCTCCCGGACGCTGTTGGGTAACGTTGCGGTGGGCAACCCTTTTTGTAAAAGTGTACATTTTAAGTATGTTTAGGAAAAGCCTAATAAAATCTCCTACGTGCGTTGCATAGAGAATACTACGTGAATACAAACCTTTCTTACTTAAGTGAGGGGCAAGGACCGACTGTTATGTATTATGTTTAGGATTCTTACTTGACTATGCCTCATCCTTCTTTTCTGGAGCTGTTTACATGCCATCTCTGCTCCTTGGACAGAACAGGCTAATAGTACACTGGTATAACCCAGTGTTTCTTAACCTTGGCAACTTTAAGATGTGTGGACTTCAACTCCCAGAATTCCCCAGCCAGCAATTCAACTCCCAGAATTCCCCAGTTGACATCCGCACATCTTAAAGTTGCCAAGGTTGAGAAAGACTGGTATAACCTGTCATGTCTAGGCTGAATACGTATTTGCCCAAGTTCATCTAAGCTCAGTGGGGTTGCTTTGATTTGCTTTAAGCCAGCATGTCTATGCAGATACCTGGGTTGGGTTTGAGCACCTCAAAACTATGACTTAGTCTGTGGTTCAATGTAACATGCAAAGCCAGGAAATTGTGTTGCTGGTACATTTAGTCAACCAGTTAATGCTAGTGAGTGATGTGGACCCAAAGGGGTGTGGCTAGTGGCATGCAAACTCAGAAAATAGAGATAATTGAGTATTTAATAAATTCAGCCAGTATTGACAAGAATAGTCAGGATGATTAAGGGTCTGGTTCAAAGGAAGAGAGTTTTTAAGTTGCATTTGCACAACTCAGAAGGCTGTGTTTATGATCCACTGGGTTGGGTGAACTGCCTAACAGTTCTGCAGGGTTTCCACATAAGCAGTTTTTCCAAGGCTTGAACCTGGGGGCTTCTGCACTCACAACAGACTTTTTTTTTTATCTGCCCTCAATCGTTACCGATGCCACTCAGTTAATGACTGAGTTCACACGCCATATACTAGGCTGTTTATTTGACATAGGTTTAGCATGTTCTGTGAACTAAGCCATTATACCTTGTAAAGCATGGTTTATCGATTGTCTGGTGTGTAAACCCAGCCATTAATGGTTTATTCAATAAACCATGATCACACAAACCATGATTTAGTGTGTTGAGTGAGCACAGCCCTATCTAGCAGTGTCCATCACTAGCCCCCTGTTGCCTATGCAGACAATTTAAAAAGATAACAGGATATTAAATTAAGAAATCCTTTCTAGATGGCTCCCAATCGACAAGTGTCAATGAGAGAAATTTTCAGTTAGGTCCTATCCTTTTCAATACTTTCAGTTAAGAATTTGTTCATAGCTCTGTTACTTTAAAGCTTTGAAATAATAACATATCTACTATTTTGTCTAATCTAAACTTATGCTGGCAAGCTCTTTTAACTTTTTCTTTAATCTTTCACTTTTCTGCCTCGTGCTGCAATGTTATGTGGCATCATTTTCAGAAACAATTCTAGTTGTTTTGAACCCCGCAGCAGGAAAGAGGCTTTTATCTTTAAATAAAACACATTCAAATAAAGAAGTAAATGGAATTGAAGTCTGTGAGTAGCTTAATGGAACTGCAAGCTTGTTCAGAGCAGCATATACAATCATGCACAGCAGATGCAGGAAATATGCATTCACTTCTACTGACTTTGACACATTTTAAGTTTTAAACCAGGTCTTGATATACAGTGGTACCTCGGGTTACGAACGCCTCTGCTAACGAACTTTTCGGGTTACGACCACCCCCAGCCACAAAAATTTACCTCTGTTTGCGAACTCCACCTCAGGGTACGAACAGGATACGCGGCCATTTTCCCTCCCGTGACACAGTCTGCGGCCATTTTTCCGGCCCTTGACACGTGGTCCGCAGCCATTTTTCCGCCCCTGACACGTGGTCCGCAGCCATTTTTCCGC